TCAACGCCGCGATACCGACTGTTTACAGTATTTGAAATCTGATATTGCAATTTATCAACAGCAACTACTCTTTCGATCGTATACAGCTCTCTTCTATCTTATACTATACGATCGATCGATGGAAAGAGTTTTGTTGTTGATAAATTGCAATATCAGATTCCAAATACTGTAAACAGTCGGTATCGCGGCATTGATTGACTGGCTGTTGCCGGAAATAGGAGTTTTTATTTGAATCCCCCCCCCTGACAAACCAAACGGTAAAGGAGGCTAGGTGGCCAAGCAGGCGTCGTAGTAATTATCGGTCTTTCTAAGTTCCATAGAATTTTAGTCTCGAAACATTTCGCTAAAAATCCATTGCAAAAATTACAGGACGTGTTAATATTGCCTTGTATGTTCGAAGATGGGTGTTTATTCTATACGCTGGCGAAGTTTTACCGGGAACAAAGCAATTTGAAGGGGATATTTTTCGATTTGAATTGTTCGTGTCGGCTGTTTGAGAACTGGAATCGTTAGCCTTTGCTTTCAATACTATCACCTATGAAGACAGTCGCCGGCATCGAATGTAAAGTCGCTCAGAAATAAAAGACGATCACATACAATCAAAGTAGGCAAGTAAATATGATTTTAAAATATAAAATTCATTACAAATTTTATTGTTTAGTATATTTTATAATGATATATTTACTATACACTGATACACGTCTGGGCCGCCTGTGGGTAGGGCAGGTCGGTTTTAACTTTTTTTTTAAACTTTTTGTTTTAATTTTCCGAATAAGCGGACGCCATTTTGTTTAGTCAGTGCTTCCACATCCAAAGATAAATTTCCCTAATATTGCCTCAAATTTCAATTTTCCACAAACTTTTTCCTCTAAGTGGAAACACTTACAAGCATGATCCAATAAAAAAAGTTTAGGGTCGGGATTTCGACGTCGAAAAGCTAGGTAGGGTCGGGAAACCGGAAACCCACATATTTTTTTTTTTTCCCTATTCATGACAGTCCGCCATATTTTTGAGATCATTGAGGATGACCACCCACCGAACCACTCACGCCCGCATTCATTGATAAACTTTAGACTTGGCTAATGCTTTCATTTCCCTGCAAATACAGTCGGGTTAGTACCCTCGCACGGCACTTCACGCCATCGGCTCGGGGACAATTAATAAAAGTCAAAAAGCATCTGCACAGGTGAGTTTTTGCAGGTCATGTTTAGTCATACTTTACATATGCGATGAATATATATATTAAATATATATCTTGTTAGAATACCTTGCCCTGGGAAAAACCGTCCAATACCAAAATCAGACAGCAGTAAATCACCATACACATCAACAAGTATATTAGTTGGCTTCAAGTCTCTGTGTAGAATTCTGGGCTCTCTAGCATGTAATGCTTTCAGCCCTTGCAACACTTGACGTATCATCTCTCTAGCATGCGACTCTGTCATCCATTCGCCTTTCTCCTTGATAAATTCTTCCAGATTCTGTTCATATAAGTTCAGAATCAAATAACCGAAATCAGGGTTGGAAGTGTCATCGTAGAAACAATAATTTACAATTCGTGGAGACTCGACTGCATTCCGAGAATTCAAGATATTTCGTTCATTCTTCAGGAATTTCTCACACAAGAGTTTTGGCAAACGTTTTATCGCTCGTTCTATTCCGTCAAACCCCAAGCAAATATACACCTCCGTGCCATAACTGCCACTGCCTATTGCGAACTCTCCTTTGAAACATACGGCATTACCATTTATTATTGTTATCGATTTAGGATCACTTCCCCACACTTCTATAAAAAGCCGTTCAAACTTCTCCCTATGCTTCACAGAGACTTGAATCCAATCTCTCTGCCCCAGAGGTGCAAAGATATTTGCGGGTGATGTGGGTGCTTGCATTTGTGGCCATAGTTCCACTTCGTATGGATAAGAAACAGACATCTTTACCACAGATAAAGATTATAAAAGAGAACAAGGTTGAATTTCGTTTTCGCCAAGGAGTCACGTGCTCCGAGCCTGGCCATCCTATTAACAGAATATACTTCATGTAGTCCTACAAGAATCACATTCCTTTTCCCTAACTAGTACACAATGTTTTGTTTATGTATATTATAATATTTCCTTGTGTTCAATATAAAAATTATTAGGACTACCTGGCAGAGACCTGAGTTGACGAGCTCTAACCACAAGTTCATGTTCGATTCCTACTAGGGGCCTATAGTTACATTTTTCGCAACTGTTCGGTTCGAACTGGACGGTTCAAACCTTACTCGAACCGTCCTGACCGCGTAGCTCAGTTGGAAGAGCATTGGGCTAGTATTCCAAAGGTCGTAGGTTCGAATCCCACCGTGGCCGGGCATATTTTTCAAGCTCGCCCGGTGTGGATATACACTCAGAGTAACACCACAAATATCATATCCACCTGAGTACACTACACCAACACAGAAAAACAAAATTGACCATGGTTACTAAAAGATAAAAAGTTCTCAAATGTAGTAAGGTGTAAAACAATGTCACACGGTCGCCATCTCAACCTCGCCGACCGTCAATGATTGCGGATTCAATCCTGCTAACATCAGCTGTTGCTTGGCAACCATTTCCTCGAGCTTAGCTTGAACTTCCACAGCTTCCTTCTTCACAATAGGAAGTTTAATTTGCAGGCTCAGAAGGCAGGTCAGTTAGAACGAGAATTTCCTGAATGACGACCAGCATGACAATCTCGTTCCCCGAGCATGCCCGTTCGCAGGTTAAGGGTGGGCATGGCTCTGGAGAAATCGAATTGATTCACGTTGAATTTCCAACGTGAGTTCTGCGCATGCTCGGCAATGTTGCAAAATATAAATAAAGTATTTAGGATTTCTCGTCGAAAATTTGATACATTTTACACTGAAATCGAATTGAAAACAACTAAAAATTCTGGGGGAAATATGTACGAAAGCTTCGGTTGGATAGGGATACAGCTACCTGAAAAATACAAGGAGAACTTCGACGTTTCGAGCGAAGGCGCTTCGATCTGTACTGTTTAGTGTTTGTATACATCGTACTTGACATTTGCTGATAAATATAATCTCCTCAATAATAAGTATTATATATTTTTATGCTTTAAAATTTACATTTATATAACTCTCCTGTCAGAATTTATGGCATACGTAGTGTTAGGTATGACAGTATATAAAAGGTCAAGTACGATTATCATGTATACAAAGTTAACAGCACAAGTCGAAGCGCCTTCGCTCGAAACGTCGAAGTTCTCCTTGTATTTTTCAGGTAGTTGTATCCCTATCAATCCGCAGCTTTTGTACATATTTCCTCCAGAATTTCTAGTTGTTTTCAATCGATTTCAGTGTAAGAAGTATCAAATTTTCGACGAGAAATTCCAAATACTTTGTTTATATAGAATAGAACTCACGTTGGAAATCCAACGTGCTATCTGCCGCTAGCCAATCAGCGGCCTGAATAAATTCGATTTCTCCAGAGCTATGCCCACCCTTAACCTGCGAACGGGCATGCTCGGGGAACGAGATTGCCAGCATGATGGTTTCAAGCTCGGCCCAGATCCCCGATGAGAGCTCGCCATCTTGGTTCGACGCAAACACCGCTCCTTTGATTCGCTTGTAAGACTAAAGAAAAGTAGGTTCGTTCAGACAAAATGACTTCTGCTGCTGTTTTTAGAGATATAAGCCATTTCAAAATCTCGTATGCACATCAAATTGATGGAACAACTTGTTAACAGTTGTAACAAGCTTAATGGCATTATCAGACATGTTACAAGGCTGTTCCAACAAATCCGATACAATGATGATATAACAATATTGTTACACCCTTGTAACATTATTGCTATATCATGACTGTATCAGACTTGTTACAACAACCTAAGGTTGCGTAGCCAGCCCGACGATTTAGTCCCGCTATGCAAATATTTTCGTGTTCATTGACTGTGAAAACAATCAATTTCCAAGGAAATGAATAATGATAATAATATTGAATTTGCATAGCGGGACTAAATTGTTGGGCTGGCTACGCCACTGACAACCTTGTGACAAAGTCTAATAATGCCATCAAACTTGTTACAAGTTGTTAACAGCTTGTTCCAAACTTGTTACAACAACTGGGAACAAGCAGTGCGAACACAACTTGTGAACAAATTTGTAACAACTTGTTTGCTGACCTGTAACCATCAGGTCATGATATATCATGACTGATGATTATAAACTTGTTATAACAAGAATGTTACAAGGTTGATGACACAAGTTTGTAACAATGTATCTAATACGAACAACTCTCTAATTTCCGCCTTGCTGCAGTTTCCCTTGTGTTCAACATAAAAATTATTAGGGATCCCAGACCATCAAGAATCCACTAATACTGGCTAACCCAATGCTATAACACAAGGAGTGAATGATATATATGCAAGTATCGATCAAACTTTAGTTTAATTTCTATGAAAATTGGATAACAGTTTACAACTGTGTATATATATTGTGCATGTTACTAGCTAGAACTAAAATTACCACAAGTTTTAGGTGCAAATTAAAATTAACTACATTATCACGATAATTGAGACTGTTGTATTTAAATGAAAATCGTTTTAAAACCTATCAGTCACTAAATTATGATTAATATATATTCTTTATAAGAGACTGTATTGTGCAAACTAAGATATTGCTACTAAGCTAAAATTATTAAACTCCTTTTAGGCTAAATTTTGACCAAAATGTTGTACATTGCATATGGCAACTCTCCGCTAGTTTTTGTATATACAGAATACATTCCAAATTATTTTGTGTTGTTTAAAGTGCCAGTAACGCCACGAGCACTGCTTTCCCTGAAATAAGCGGTTAAACGCCGTGCATAACCTTCACGAATCTATGAAAAAATAAACAAATGCATTTGAACATTATTTCTGGAATGCGTAATTGAAACAACATTATAACAATAATGTTCAAGATCGTGGTTTTACTATCCAATAACCAGTTGACTGAAAATGTTACCATAATGGGCTCAGATGAACCATTATGGTCATCAGCGGCGCCAGCGGCTCAAGCTCTATTTTAAAGGGTGGAGGGAGGGGAGGGGAAAAGTGCCCAATTCTGGAAATTAATTTTATTTTTCATTTTTTTAGCATTGATGGCTTGGTCCTTTAGTTTTTCCTCAATGTTTCTGCAAATTTCCCCAAATTTCAGCTATAATTCTTAGTTTTTAATCAGTTTCACTCAAATATTTTATTTTTCCTTCCTATCCAGGCTTTCAGAATTATTCTGAGTAGGTGGCTGTGTTGATAAAGTAGGCGGCTGTACTAGTGTATATTGACTAGATATAATAACACAACAGAGCTCTGTAACCAACTTATAATGTATCACTATACTTTCATTCTTCAACAAGATAACTTCAAAATTTAAGATTGCAAATAACTAGATCAGTTTTACGAAATAGTACGTCGTTTTGGACAAGCGGGATACAATGATTTGCCAACTACCTGGTATAAAGGAATAATGAAAACCATGGTAATGAAATATACGAATCTTACACATTGTGTATGCTTTAGTCTGCATCAGTCACTGCATGACGGTCTACCACAGGAAAAAACTCCTTCAAGGCAGGGCGTGTTTTCCAGTCGGGACACTCTCTGATTATTTGATGAAGAACAAACGGGAGTTTGGGAAATAACTGAAAAAAATATTCCTCAAGAGAAGAAGTAGCCGGTGTCTTCTTTTTCAATTGACTCAGTTTGCCATCCCGATGCTGAAATGTGTTTCGTATCAATCGAAGACAATCAGTATAACGGCTACCATTATACTCTGATGGGGAGCGGTGACCTCCTCTACACAATGTGTCGAGGTCATCATGGCCAATCACTGTTTTCCAATCCTTTGGTAACAACCGACTTCGAGGTTTGGATGGATCAAGGTTGTTCAGCTGTCTGTAAACAGCACAGAAATTCTTTAATTTCGGTTCGTTGCCTACAGCTTCTACAAATTTCATCTGCTCTTCGAGAGAGAGAAAGTAAGGATGCTTCAGGGCTTGCTCCACATATGGCCGTTGATCTAGATCCCGAGCCAACATCTGAGAAAGCAGGTCTGTGACCACTGGATCACTTAGATCTCTTAAATGCTTTGGATTGTTAGCATGCAAATTCATTAGTCGGACTATTTTTGGACCAAGCGGATGCTTTCCTTCGGTCAAGATGTAAAATGATAACATGCCTGCGACTTGGATATCTGATTTCTCTTTCCACCTGAGTTGTATTGGTGTATCTGAAGGGTTCCGTGCCTTATGAGAAAACAATCCACCCCAGTCAATACATTCATATGCGACCCAGCCGTGTGATCCACTTTCGTTACTGGTATGGTATGTTGTTGCACCTGTAAAGAAGTAAAATTGACCCATTTAATCTTTTAGTATTTTACTTTGTTTGACAGTCTCAGATGAATATTTTACTTGTCAAAGAGAGAGAGTTTCGCCCATTAATGAACTAACCATACCAAACTACAATACCCGTCTCTTCATGCCATATGGTGCACACTAGGGGGGGGGGGGGAGTTGGTGATTGCTCCCCCCAGTCGATTTTAGTAAGCAACTACACATGTAAAAACGCGCAATAACACATACACTATGGAGAAACTATTTACAAATTATCATGTTCTTTTATCAGTTTTTTTAAAATAAGTTAAAGTATTGTCCTTTTTCACATTAACCGGTAAATTAGTCCAAAGAAATGCACCGTTGTAACCAAAACTTCTCTCTTTTTGTTTTCTCGTTTCCCAAAAATTTTTTGTGAAGTCTAGAGCCTTTGAAATGGCATTTCTCCTGTTCTGGGGAAGATTTCTAATCACTACCTCAACAATTGAAACTGATCCTACAATTAACTTAACTCGAACTTTCCAAGTTGTGTTTCTTTCTTCGAGTTAAGCCCTTGACGAGAATGCTTTTGGTTTGGGCGTGGTCGGGGCGTAACTCGAAAAAGGCTTAACTCGAAGATTACCTCTGACAATGAAGGATTGTGACCGTTTCAAGCAATATGATTGGTCTAAATGTAACCTACTTCATGTACGCTTATTATTTTGCCACGGGAAAGTTTAGGTTGGATTAAATCGATCAATACATGAAATACTTGCAATGTTCAAAGCGGAAGGGCTTCCAATAGAATTTCTGGACGAAATAAATAATGTTTTTGAAATATTTTCACAAAAGTCCAAGAGGACAATAGAAAATAATGAAAAATTTCACGCGCCCGGGTGACGGTAAACTGATATTTCACTTCCCTTGACCTAAAGTACGTTACACAAATACGATCCAAACTGACCCCAAATTACAAATAGTTTTATGATTATAGTAGTACAGTTCTCACCGTCACATACAATAGCGGCTAAAGAGAAATCGTACATACTGCAGCCGTAGTGTCTAGTGAACTGCTTGATCAGTTAATATTTAATTGCTAATCACAACATGACCTTCGTTTAGCTGAACCTTTTTGTTGGATTGGAAGAATATGTGTGAACACAGTAAAGATATTTAACACCAAGAGATTGATGTTTTAATACTTAGCTGTTGTCACACAGCTACACATTGCAGGCAGACACAAAGTTGTTGTTTGAACAAGCATTGACAATAAGAGACAACTTGCACTTGGAGCAGACCCTCAGCTTGAACATACACTCTTTATTAGTAAGTGGGGTGTGCTAATCTGATGAAGTAACACATAGATGACTTTAGCCAGTTTAGGTATCTTTAGTTTGATCCAGAAATCTATTTAATATGACAGATTGATTAACTTTTAGTTGAGCATGCAATAATTATTGCTTGTAGGGATCTTATTTTAGCAGCAAAAACCTTGACCAGCCGACAATTTAAAAAAATAAAGTAAAAACAAATTCCGAAAATACAGGACATCTTGAGAATTCAATATATAATTCAAAACAAGACGCAGTTTGAGACTGTAAATTTTCAACTTTATTTGAAAGAAGATGACTTTGAAATAAAGTCGAAAATTTACAGTCTCAAACTGCGTCTTGTTTTGAATTATATATTGAATTCTCAAGATGTCCTGTATTTTCGGAATTTATTTTTTACTTTATTATTTTAGCATGCTGAGATTTTTTGGAGAGGTCCTGTGTTAGCTGGTCATGTATTCAGTGTGTTGTGATCCACTCAGTTAGTCTGATAAACTGGGTTGTCTGTAAACTGGATAATCTTGGCACAGGTCACAGGACATGCTTGACTCAAATTCTATTCATGGAACTCAATATTAAACCAAGTGAATATCCTGTAAAACTATACTGTGGTACTGGTCAGGGGGGTGTCATCTGTTATGAGACAGACTCCTCAATGTTGTAAATGCCATTATAGAGATGTAAAGCATTAAGTGTTAGTGGCTTTTGAGCCAGAATAAAGAAAATATATATTTTTATATCCAAATTTGTTTGGAAATCAACCAATTTGTTTGGAAATCAACCAATTTGTTTGGAAATCAACCAATTCGCCGGTGGCAAAGTGGTTAGCGCACTTGCCTTTCACCTCTAAGGCGTGGGTTCAAATCTCAATGAGAATTTCTCAATGTGATTCGAACCCAGTCCTCATGTGAAAAGTCAAAGCTCTGCCGAAAGTCGTGGGTTTTCTCCGGGTACTCCGTGTTTCCTCCCACAGGGAAAGTTGACAGGGTGGGTTAGGCACATAGGTCTGGAGGCAGATCATTAATGAGGTATGGACTAATAGCGGCTGCTCAAGTGCCATTTGTAAGCTCAAAGTCTACCTCGGTCTGCTTCACGTACATCAGTCCGGTTCTATCTATCTACGTATTCATAATGTAACCAGTCACTGAAAAAGCCCTGATAGAGAGTGTGCTGTGAAATATCTGTAATCTGTAATATAATTGCAAAATATCCATTGCTGGGGACCTAGGGTAGTTCCCCAAGTAAATTTCCGAAGTTTTGAATATTACTAGGACAAGAATTTCTGCATTTTCTGATAGGTACTCTTGAGTAAATAACATCTAAATTCACAATAGTTTCTCACTATTCTTTTATTCAGTGGTGGTGCCAAAGACAGAATACAGCACTAGTGGGGTCCAGGGGGCATGCTCCCCCAGATTTTTGGGGGACGATTATACAAATTCTGAAGATTGTAAAGTACATGAAACTCATGATTTTTCATTATTATATGCAGGTGTAAGGGAACTATACATTGAAAATAAAAACTTCACTTTTGTTTTCATTGAAAATTTTGCAAAAGCCAAGCTCAATAAACTGAGGCATTCTACCGGTTTTGCTATTAGCAATTTGCACCCAATTGTTTATCTCTTTTTGACATATTGGATGCACAAAATGATCGTCTGTTTTGGATAAAAAGCAGACTGACAGTATTAATACAATAAACATTTTGGGACCAACTTTTAAGACTGATTTCATAAATGTTGGGAGGGTGCCACACCACCCTAAACACCCAACCATAAAGTGTGCCCCTGACTGTGGTAAAAAAACTACATATTACACTGTACCATAACCAACATATAAAGCATTATAAACCCATTGACCATTATATCTGCAGTGACTTGAGTTGATTCAAATGAGGGAATAATTTCGTCTAACTCCTGTGTGACTTATACACATGCATGTCCTAGCATTAATCAGTTAATGTATATTACTATAAGTAATATTATGGTTTCTCATCCAACTTGGAAAAAACATGCACGAGTGAGTTTTTCAAAGACTATCAAGTCTTTGAAAACTTGTCCAGAGGACGAGCGCATTTTGAAGTCTTTGAAAAACTCACGAGTGCTTGTTTTTCCAAATTGCATGAATTAACTGTATAATGCTAGGACGTGCATGCGTAAGTCACACAGGAATTAGACGAATTTATTCCCTCATTTTAATCAAGCCACAACAGGAAAAGGTTTTTTCCAAGGCAGCTGAAAGTGGACTAAACTGTTCTAGAATTCTTCTGCATCAAACAAATAATATTGAAACGAGGCCCACCAAGGGGTTAGGGACCGGTCATAAAGTAAAGGGGAGGGGGGCTGGGAAAATCATATATTTGGTGTCTGAACTTTTGGTAGTCCACCCCTTAATAGCTGCACGAAAATTTATAGCCCACCCTTAAATTGGTGCTGAAAAATTATGACCCACCCCTTTTAAAATTTTTTCCAGAAAAAAAATTTTTCAGACAAAAACCTCTCCCATCATCATCTTTAGGCCACATAAAAAAAATTACTTGTTTAGTGTCCCCGCCCGACCTGATAAAAGTCCCCGGATCTCCTTAATTTTAAAAGCCCTGCATTTAGCAGAATTTTGTGTTGCATTTTACGAAAAAAAAAAAAAAAATCCGCCCGCCCGACCTAGGAAAATTAAAATGGGTGGACGCTAAACAAGTAATTTTTTTTATGTGGCCTTAAGTATACCCAAACAAATTACAGAAGCGGAAGTGGGAAGGTTCTTGTATTCTGACCGTAATTTTATATAAATTCTGTTGTATTTGTCCAGGATAACTTTAGTTTATGAATCGAACAATCCCAGGTCAAAAATAAAAGAGATTTTTAAAGAACAAGACAGTTCTTGTTCAACGCTAACTTATTGGGGGTTGTATACTTCAATAGATCTGTTTAAAATATATATCTTGATATATGATATACATCTTGTGAAAATACCTTGTTCTGGGAAAAAGCGTCCCATAACAAAATCAGACAGGAGTAAATTACCATGCACATCAACAAGTATATTAGTTGGCTTCAAATCTCTGTGTAGAATTCTAGGCTCTCTTGTATGTAATGCTTTCAGCCCTTCCAACACTTGACGTATCATCTTCGTAGCACCGGATTCTGTCATGCTTTCGCCTTCTTCCCTGATAAATTCTTCAAGATTCTGTTCATTTAAGCTTAGAATCAAATAACCGAAATCAGGATTGGAAGTGTCATCGTAAAAACAATAATTTACAATTCGTGGCGAGTCGACTGCATTCCGAGAATTCAAGATATCTCGTTCATTCTTCAAGAATTTCTCGCACAAGAGTTTTGGCAAACGTTTTATCGCTCGTTCTATTCCGTCAGATCCCAAGCAAATGTACACCTCCGTGCCATAACTGCCACTGCCTATCGCGAACTCTTTTTTGAAACATACGCCATTATCATTTACTATTGTTATCGATTCAGGATCACTTTCCCACAGTTCTAAAAGCTTTTGAAACTTCTCCGCATGCTTTACAGAAACGCTCTTCCAATCTGTGGGTTTTAAGGTTGCCGTTCTTTCCGTTTTCTCATCTAGTCGCCTCTTAAGCTTCATAGCTTCTTTTTGCTCAGATCTGGTTCTGATCAAATCTAGTTTTCTCTTAAGCGCACGTGGTTTGTTCATCATGTCTTGTCCGGAGGGATCAAGTAACACTTGGTCAGATCACAGAATAAAGACATACAGAAGTGCTGCCTCGTACCCAGGCGCTTACATCAAGTATTCAGGTAGGCATCCGACGCGCGAAGGGGCTGTTGGGAAGGGTCCGTGCTGGGGAGCGCCTGGCAGTTCTTGTATACTGTCATGGCGGGAAAACAGGGAATTTTATACAAAAAGTTACCATATCGTCATATACTCTGTGTGTAAAACCTTACTTTGTGATGAAGAGTTGAATTGAACGCCATTGGCAAATAATAATACATTTGTAGATGTTCGATGACATGCAAAATGCGCGAAAAATTATGAGTAAATATTAAACATGACAAGTTAACCGTGCGAATATTTCGAATATGTCATTCGATATTACATGGAGAATAATAAAATGCTATCAGTTGCTCAGCATAAAACAGTAACAGAGAAATGATTAGAAAGTCATATAATTGCTTTTGTATTAATAACTTCTTTAGCTGAAAGCTCAATCAGTCGATCACAATGCCAATTTCTATTAAATGTATACTGTAAACAAAAGCCCAAGTAAATAAAAGTTCACAGCCGTAAAGTTTGAAATATTTATTACAATAGTGCAATTTTATAGTCTGTACCTTTATATAGTTATAGCTTACAAATCTAGTTCCTGCAAGTCTAGTTCTTCAACGCTTCGGTTGTCGACATGTTAATATTGGAATTTCCATGGACTTTAAGGGCATATATATGTCATATATACCAAGAATAACAGCATGAATTCACGCCCGGATGACAGAAGAATATTAACATTAGTCAATTCAACAAAAACAAGTAGCAAAAAATCGTAAACGACAACGAAATAGCACAACTTGCAAGAAATCGTACAAATTTGCAAGAAATCGACCAAGAACTGCCAGGCCAGGCCTACCCTGGCCCAGAGGTTTTTACGCGAAATGCGAGAAAACGCGCGAAGAAAAAGGAAAAACCTCTGGTGAATTTGTTGGCGATTCCTGGTTCGGATAAAGAATGCAAAAAATGTATAATTGCTTAATGCATCATATTCTAAAAATATTATCCAATCATTATCCTTGACGCCAGGCCGTCTAGACAGGGTTTTATCGCATGTTTACTGTCTAGTGTATGCCTGCCCATTTGTAGCAATTTTCATTCTCCTAAATTTCATTCAATTTAAAACATCACATCTATTCAATTTAATATAAATATATATTTATATTCATTCACTTTAATCTTGCAATATACATTCAATTTAATCCTGCAATATACATTAAAAAAAATCTGTATTTTATAAATTTATTAAACACACCTTTGGGCCGACGTGAACTTTGTTAATACAAAAGCAAGCAAATTTGTCTTGTAGATTTCAAATGAAACGATTGAAATCGTTCCTCTCCATTTCGCATTTCGAATAATAGACTCGGGATTACAAAATGCGAATGCAAACTCTCCATCTAGTATTGCTTTCTCGTCCTCTTCGTTTGACAGTGAAGTAACACGGCATCCACGCTTTCTTAGTTCACGGACGTGAGAGTCAATGAAAGAGTTCAATTTGCAAATGACTATTAAGATGGGTTTCTCCAGAAAATTGTGGCTTTTGCCAAGTCGTCGTGCTACTCGGTGTTAGAACTTTGGAATATTAAACTCTTCCCATAACCGATAGCGAGATGCAAATACATCTTTAATGTGAATCAAATTGGACAAGGCGCGGTATTGATGCTCCGTTAAACTTTTAATTCAGGAAATTTATCAATCTATCTATTAATGCAGCCTATAAAACTGCTTCTTTCAACTTTTGTTCGTTTATTTAATAATATAGACATTTCAAAATTCAAATGTTTCAATTCAATCAAAACACGAAACGCCTGCGAACAGGCTATGATGTTTACAATATCCAATCAGAACACGTAGTCTATCGAACCTATAGTCAGCAACCAATCAACTTCTAGGTTCCAATTTTGAAAGTTATTTGTGGAATGTGACCCCAAAAACCCAGCCAATTTCACCAGAGGGTTATTCAAAACAGGCGAAAATAAATACCCTCTGGTTCCAGGGTAGGCCAGGCCAGGCGTCTCGCAGTTCAAGTGCACTCTTCCCATCAGCCCCTTCGCCATCTCTCCCCACTACAATACTTCATGTAAACATGTCATATGGGCATCACTGCTTTTTTACAAAGAGACGCCTGGGTACGAGGCAGTACAGAAGTGTATCTTCTTATTAAAAGTGCGTAAGGGATTTTTTCAGTCCGCCATGTTCTTAGCAAGTGCCCTAAAGAGAGGCAGTCACCCCCTGAAAACATATTGAAAATTTAATATTCCAGGGGGGTGAATGCCTCTCTTTAGGGCACTTGCTAAGAACATGGCCGCCAGCTATTTTGGTAAAAAGCGCCTTACGGTTTTGTAATGGAAGTTACACTTCTGTATGTCTTTATTCTGTGGTCAGATGTTGCAACATTACTAGTAACCTGAAGTTCAGGCCCTAGCCTGCGTGCAGGCCCAAGGGAACTTGATAGTGGGCCTGCAACCATCGCCTAGTGATGGGCGATACTATCGAAAAAGTATCGAAATCATCGATACTTACAAAAGTATCGATACTTTCGATACTCGCAAAAAGTATCGGTAATTCGATACCACTTGAGCCTGCGATGTTTTTGGTCAGTGTTGCTGAACAATCGCTAAATACTTCATGAAGGCAACAGACTGAAGGCCCCAAAAAATGTTGACATGATGCTGTTCTTTGTTTAAAAACAAAAACATGTAGCTAATTAGCAATATATTTTAAGAAAACATTGGTGTTTGGATTTAAAATCATAATTGCAAATGTTATGTTCGATTATTTGGCAGGGACTCCAGTTGGAGTATTCTTTGACTTGTTTTGAACATTGTCAACATTAATGTTCTTGTTTTAAAAGTTATTTTAATAAATGGAAAAAATTGAGTATCGGTATCGATTTTGGTATCGGTATCGACCAAAATTCATGGTATCGGACTGGTATCGTATCGAAACCAAAAAAGCTGGTATCGCCCATCACTACCATCGCCCGGTATTTTGAAATACGCCCCTTTTCATAACACGCCCCATTCGCGCGTCAATTGTCAAAAAAGAACCAATGACAGCACCCAAATATTAACAAACAAACTCGCATTAAAATGT